AAAAAAAGCAGAAGAAGAAAAAGAAAAAAGGAAGTCTTCCTTACCCCCTTGGTTAATATCCTGTGGTTCTGGGAAAAGGAACCCCTGGCCACTGCTCCTGTCCACCCCTGACTCTCCCACCCACTGCTGCTGGGCATCCTTCTCTGGTCGCCTTCCGGAGTCAACCCATGCTCTCTCTTTAATCTCAATCTGTAAAATGCTCCCAGCCCCAGCCACACTCGCCTTTCTCTTTGGGCTTCTGGTCCTCCCCTCTCCCAAGGCAGTCTCCTCCCACTCAGGGTGAGAAGCAAGCATCTTCCTCTCTCTTCCCCAAATAAAGAGACAACCAAGATAGTGACAGTAGGGCCCATTACCCTTGGACCCCTGTTTTGTTTGTTTGTTTGTTTGTTTGCTTTAAGATTTATTTACAGGACTGGTGTTGTAATATAATAAATAAAATTTTACCTGCGGAGCCAACATCCCATATGAGTACCGGGCTAGCATCAATTGCTGCTCCACTTCTGATCCAACTCCTTGCTAATGTCCTGGAAAAAGCAGTAGAAAAATGACATCGGTAACTGGGCCCCTGGCATCCACGTAGGAGGCCCAAGTGAAGCTCCTGGCTTGACTTTGGTCTGACCCAGCCCTATGGGGAGTTAGCCAGTAGCTGGAAAATGTTTCTGTCTCAATCTCTCTATTTTTGAAATGCAGAGTTTCACAGAGAGAGAATCTAGCCGTTCGTTTACTTCCCAGGCACATTGGCAGAGAGCAGGATAGAAAGTAGAATAGCCAGGACTCAAGCCGGCACTCATGGGACACCAGTGTCACAGGTGGGTGATGGTTTAAACCAGTGGGCCACAGTGTCAGCCTCTGTTGGACCTCTGCTAACAGTTCCTTTGGTCCCTTGTTAACAGTTCCTTGTTTGCCTTCGGGGTTCAGACATATTAAAGTCCTTCCCATGTCTGAAGATTCACCATGATAAAAACATAATTAGAAAAAAAAGTACTGGAAATCAACCTCAGTTCCCCCTCCCAAATCATATGGAAGTGATTATTATTGCTGGTATATATTAAGTTGGCAGGTCTCAAGCTAAATGAATAATTTAAAGATACATGTATGATAAGAATCCAGCCGTCTGTCTGAGGTAGTGTGAAAAATATACTTAGACATAATGACAGGGACTTGGGTCAATACTGAGGCCTCAGGCGTGGTGTGGGTTTTATAAGGTCCTCCAGATAGCACTTACCCTGTCTTCATGCCTACCAAGGGAAGGCGCTGTATTTTGATTCTTCAGTTTGCCTAATTGGTGTTTTCCTTACTGAGGGAGTCAAGCCATTGACCTCATTGCCAAACTTCTAGTAGCCCTCCTAGCTCACTGTCCCAAGACTCAGGCCCTGGGTATGTTTTCCAAAGGTTTGGGGAGAGGGGAGCTGTGTCTTAAGGTGGAAATTTAGGCTATTTTTAAATGGATGAAACACGTCATTGAAATCTGTCACACACATCATACCAGTGACACACAGGCTGCATTGTAACACAGCATGTGTCATGCATGCATTCTCTCTTTCTCTCTCTCTGTCATACACACACACACACACACACACACACACACACACACACACGTTCTTCTTGTTCATCTTTGCAAAAGGAAAGCAACCAGGAAGTCCAGCACAGCGATTTGAGTTGAAAAGGCTGTTGGAGTTGAAACTCCAAGTACCCCTCTGGTGCTCAGCCTGGCTTTGAGACATGTGGGAAGGCTTCAAAGCCTACATGCCCCTCTGTCAGGCTCAAGCTTAACAGTTGGTCCCCAAATGTTTACCAGCATGAAGATGCCTAACTTACAGGAAGTGGGAAATGGGTGTGGGGGGTGAGGGCGGGTGGGTAGGGAGTGGGGAGCAGAGGGTGGGGGGTGTTCTCTTGATGTGGTTAGCCTGTCATTGACCTTGTTTGGGTATAGCAGGAGTTGAATTAGAAAATGAAAACATGTTTCATCTTGGGCACATTTCATCCCATTTTTTACTTTCCTTAGGAAAAAAAAAAAATTCTTTCCCCAAGTGGAGTCAGGTCCCCAGATTGAATACTCCCCTCCTTTTGACAATAGCCCTTCCTTCCTCTCCTCCAATAGTCATCTGGCCGCCTACCTTGCCATCCGCAGCCCACCCCACTGAGAACTGGGAGCCAAAAGCTGACCCAGGAGCTGCCGCTGAAATCGCAGGGGCTGGTTGTGCTGTGGTAATGGTGTTGTCCAAGGCGGAAGAGGAGGCTCTTAGAGAAGAGAGTTCTGGGGCATTTGTGATGCTGCCTGCTATGGTATCGTGACTGCCTGAGAAAACACTGATTAATAAAGGTAACCCACGTTTCTTCCTGGCATTCAAACAGGGAGGGGACTCAGAGGGAGACTAAACTCGCACTAAGGTATTACTTAGATAAAAACATTTTGAGACTCGGGGTTCTAGACAATGACAGCTTCATAGTGCTCTTGGCACAAGTGTGCCATGGCCAGTAGCTGCCAGCTCTTTTCAGTGTCCTACAGACGTGCCCCTCAGGCCTGCTAGAAGGGCTGAGTGGACTCCAAAGGACCGGGCCCACTTCTTCCCTGTGAACAGTTAGCTTTCCTGTTGCAAAGCCTGCTTCCACTCCTTGACTCTGTTTTGTTTCTTATCATCTTAAATGACATTGTTGTCTGTTCTTGACCACTGTAATCATAGCCAAAATTTGCTTGGAGGGGTTTCTTAATTCACTTTTTTTTTCTTTGCCTATTCCTTTGAGACAACAAGTCAACATTTGGAGGATTTTGTATTCAAATACTCTGTGCCTTTACTTTCCTTCCAGTTCCACCCTTGTCCAGCTCAGAGGGAGCACCTGGAACTAATTTTAGGGTTGCCTAGCTAAGCCTCACACTGGTATTTGATGTCTGCGTCTTCCCTAGACTCAAGCCCATTTCACCACCTCTGAAGGTGAGTGCAGGCTGATATTAATTAACAGTGAGTTGATTCACTGACCTCTTCCAGTCATTAAAGCAACTATTTGGCCTAAAATAGCTCTCTTTCCCACCTCAAATACCCAACTTTCTGCCTGTGCCTTTCCTGCATCATGGCTGACTCATGCTCGCTTGCATGGTCTATGTGGCTTTAAGAAGACAGCTTGATCCTAAAAGGGAAGTGAAATACTCTTTCACATCTGCAAGGGAGACTGTGTGAGCAGCAGGCCAGCCTTCAGTATGACTACATTGTTTTTCTGTCCATCGTAGCGCTGACTCAGCATCAGTTAATAAACCCTCTCGAGGAGGCTGGATTTCTCTTGTTTAATTATCATCTTTGAGCTCTCCGAGAACTCTTGGGGAGGGTTCATTCAGTTTTATACCCCTAGCACATCAGCTGTCAAGGGCCTGCTTCCTCTTGGTGCTAGCGTCCCCTCTGGCGTAACATGTAATAACACGGACCTGCAACCAGTGGAGAGTGTGTGTGCTACGCATGTCCCCTAGTGGGAATGTAATTGCTGTGTGCTGCTACGGAGATTCTACAAGGACTTAAGACACAGATACCATCTTCTGGCAAATAATCTAACTTTTTTGGCTTCCTCCTTCTTCTCTCCCTCCACCAAAACAAACAAAAAAATCTGAGAGAGAAAAAAAAAATTTAAAGATAAACAGACATATTTTTTATGATTGAGTAGGGCTTTTGTTTTGCTTTGTTTCATTTCTTCCTGTAAACAAATCATCAGATGTCCACTTCATTGCATGACTAAGTTAGTATCATCAGGTTGGGACTGGGTGTGTGTATGTGGGTGTGTACGTGTGTGGGGGAGTGTATGCACACGTATATTTGAAAGGATAGCAAAGATGTTGAAGTCTAAGGTCGAAAGAGAAGATGAAAAAAGCAAACACAGCTACCTATGGTGAGGCAAGCAGGAAAAGTGGAAGACTCATGTTTCAGTGATCTAATAGTGGTCATTGTACTGGGGTGCTCGCTATAAATGGAGTCTTTGCATCATTGTTTCTCTGAACTGGAAGATTCCTTGCTGAAGGCACACATAGAGAGCACTGAAGGAAGTCAAGCATCTGGTTTGTTTTGTAATGAGAAGCAGGAATGCAAGGTCCACGCTCTTCATAATAAACAAACAGGACATTGTATGGCATCATCACAGGATGTCCTTCCTTCAACAGAGGCACTGGCTGGGCTGGGGCTGGAGGAAAAGCCAGCCAGGGCTCAGAGCGAGCCCCACTAATTACTGCCTCGGATGGCTTTCCCCTCTCAGTGACCAGTTCAGTATCCCCTTAAACCCTCTGTCCATTTTACTAGCCCATTGCTCCTAAGTCTGCCTTGGGTACTGGGAAGAAAAAAACCGGAATGGGGGTGGCGGGGAGAGGGTTTATCTGTAGGATCGTAACTTTTTTCCCGTTTCCCTATTTACTAAATAGTTGAAAGAGAGAAGTTAGTCCTGCCAAAAATGAATGTGTTTAGTTATAAGCAAGGAGAGATGGGGGGGGGGGGTGAAGGGGGGAAGGGAAGGGAGTGCGAGGAGAGAGGAACGAGTCTTAACGCAGACGCTTGCTTGGGACTGGACAGATACATGGTGTGTCATTCAGAAGCAAAATCAATTGAAGTTGCCCTTTACAAGTTCGTGGCGCGCGGCTATCTGGGGTCTGCGGGCTCCAGGGCTGAGGAACCACAGATGGTCTGTCCAGGTACTTCTGAGGTTTCCTTTCATTTGGGGAGTGTGCGCCCCCTTGATCGGCGCCGCAGCAGGAAGACGGGCGGTCTGCCTCTAGAATACAATACCGGCTTAAATTGAAGCCGGGGTTCTGGGCCTTCAAAGGGAAGTCGGAAGATTCCAAGTCATGTTGAAATTCACATGCGAAGAGAGGAAGCTGTGCGCTGGGGAAAGCCCTGAGCCGGCTAAGCTCTGGTGAGTCCAGGTGCCTGAAGTGGCCACGCCCCCACTCCCTCCGGGCAGCTGGTAGCAGTGAATCAGACGAGTGGCTAACGAAATCTACAGCAGGAGGGAGGGGAAAGGAGCCGCCGAGCTGGTTCACACAGACACACAAAGTGCAGCCGTGACACTCGGGCCTCCAGTGTTACGGAGCGGTGAGAGCAGCGCGCGGCACCTGTCCGCCCAGAGCCGGGGCGCGGGCGCCGGCAAGCAGGGACCGGCGCAGCGCGCGTCAGTGCAGCTCAGCCCGCCCGCCTGGACGCGGGCATGATGTGGGCCGGGTACACTTGAGCCGGACGCGTCTCCGATGTTGGATATTTGCTTGGAAAAGCGTGTGGGGACGACCTTGGTAAGGAAGTTGATTTTCTTTCTTTCTTTTTTTTTTTTTTCTGGTTTTGAAATTGATCTGGGAACTTTTTTTTTCTTTCTAGTTTTTGTTTTTGATCACGTACTCGGGGTAAAAAGAAAAGCTTCTGCTTGGGTGCGCTTAGGACTGTCAGACGTTTTTAAAGGACTTTTTCTCCTTTTCTTATGGATCATTAACCCTTTCATTTCGAGATTGCCATTTCATTCCTGGCTCTTGGCCGCTCCCGTCTAACCAAGCAATTTTACTGGGTTGGTTTCAGTTGTCTATTTTCTTTTTATTTCAGCATTTCTTCGGCATTGTAAAGTCTATGTGTTGGAACTATTAAAAAATTAAAGCCGGCTTATTTAAATCGCAACCGTGGGAAAGACAGTTCTGCCTTTTTTTTTTTTTTTCTAAGAGCATCCTATTTAGAGAAGAATTGGAAGACGCGCGGGCTATGCTGAAGGCTTCCCCGTGTTCTGTTTACACGTCCGCAATGGGGAGGATGCCCTGGCTCCTAACTTTGATCAGCCTCGGCTAATGGGAAGGGGAGAGCGTTACAGACGTCCTTTACCTTGTTGTTTCCTTTTTTCATCCCTTCCTCGGAAAGCACTTTTTCTGTGCAGGACGAGAGGATATTCGGGAATATCCTGATCAATTTACAAGGGGAAGCGGGACTCATCCTCCCAAGTCTTTCTGTGTTACAACTGGAGTTACAGTAAACTGCAGTGCATCCGTGACTTCTGGGAATCCATACACTTTCAGATTTCAGTGGAAAGGGCTATTTGCAGCTCAGGACTCGTGAAGGAATTCTGTCTTCAGGGAATTCTCTTGAGCAGTCCGTAGGTTTCGTGTTTGCTTCTCTTCCTCCCATCCCGCCTCCGGAGAGTTGGCGGGAGATGCCCAGACATCCATAGAGACGGCCGGGATGTTTGGTCTCTCACCCCATTCTGGGGAGGCCCCCGCGCTCCGCCAGCCGGCCGGGAAGCTGCAGGGCTAGGGGGATGCTGGCGGCTGCAGTCCCGGGCCAGCGCGCCAGGCGCGGGGGATGAGCGAGCACGCTCAGCGCTCAGCGCCAGGGAGGCAGTTGTTTTGAAAGTTGTTTTGCCTTGGGAGCTGGTGGGAAAGTTCAGTCTTCCCCTTTTGGAAAAAGGCAGGCTGGGTTCCGCTCCTGCACCACACGCGCTTTCCATTTTTAGCTTCATTCAGAGGCAGACAGAGCTCCTTCCTCTTCCTCTCCTTGTTTGTGACACTTTTCTGAGGCAGCTTTTCCACAGTGTTGAGGGTCTGGCGGCCATGACCCTGGGCGCTCTGGGACACAGCACTGAGCACCCGCAACACTTTTCTGCCGCGAGAGGTAAAGGCAGGGAATGTTCAACATCCCCACCTCCAAAGTGAGGTTGCCACTTTTTATTTTCCTTTAACTAAGACAAGCATTTAAAACCCTTGCTTCTTAAAGACAGTGTGCTTTATGCGGCTGTTTGGCTCTTACTCAACTGTACCAAGCACTGTGCATCTGCTTTGAAAGTCCCTCGGACTGCTGCATTAGTCACAGCCGCTGGGAGGGGAGCCACAGCCAGCCAGGGAGGCCAGACAATGGGGGATTAAAGCCCTTTGCCTTCTCTTCCAGGCTGCCCCCAAGTGCAGCTCCAGCACTGTGAAGTCTCAAGGGTTGGCAGAGGGCACCGAGGGGACCATGAAAATGGACATGGAAGACGCGGACATGAGCCTGTGGACAGAGGCAGAGTTTGAGGAGAAGTGTACCTACATTGTGAATGATCACCCCTGGGAGTCGGGTCCCGATGGAGGGACCCCAGTACAGGCTGAGGCATCCTTGCCCAGGAATCTGCTGTTCAAATACGCCACCAACAGCAAAGAGGTAAGCCTCTGGGTTTGGGCTGAAGGAAGTGGACACCTTCTCCCTCCTGTCCTCTAGGCCGCTCTCTTTCTCAGAATCTGTAAGTATCAGGCAAAAATTAGTCCCCGTTTGCATCTCTCACGGCTTTCTCTGTCCCCAAGTCAGTTCCTTCTTTGCGCCAGCCCTCACCCGTGCCATACTAATTAGTAAACACTTAAATCTTGCGGCCAATGGACTTGTCTTAGGCAAGTCGGCTTGGCCTGCAGCCTGGAGTGGGTGAGCTTCGAGAAAGATCTGGACCCACTGGCCATCCTCTTTGGAAGGAGCACACTTTTTCTTAGGAGGGAAAAAAGTTTTTCATGTTTCTTTTGTCTCCCTATGGTCATTAGATGGCTTTATTCTTTTTTAACGAGCAGCTTTATGAGCTGGGTTTCTAAAATTATTCTCAAAACCTTGACGTGTTTATGAATTGAGGTGACGGTAGAAGCCAGGGGAGGGTCATGTAAAAGCGCAGTGTCCTCTGGCCGGATGACTACAGAGCTAACCACTGTTTATCTGCGGCAGCTCCTTTGCTCTGCCTGGCTGGCAGAGCCATGCCTTACTGGCCTCTGAAGTGGGTACACTCTTTGTTGTTTCAAAGGGGCCGAAAACTCAAAATTGGAATGAGCCACTGATTTGTGTTTACCCTTTCATATAACTATGACAGCAAGACGTGTTGGTTAGCTGTGAAATAATTTAAAGAACCACCTCTGGTTGGGAGGCTGTGGCTACTGCAGCTGCCCTCACTACCAGTAGCCTACTGCTGGGTCCAGGTTGGACACATTGACCCCTCCTTGGCCTTGACACCAGCCCCAGTGCCTCAGTGCTGCGAATAAGAAAAGGTGGTGGTGAAGCAGGAACAGAGTTTGCCCTGGGACTATTCCTGATGGCCCGAGCCAGGTCACTTTTTCCCTTCCCCTAAGGAACAAACAGTATTTGGAGGAGCTGGGGAACCTATTGGGGAAACACTTTGACTTGCATCTGAGGGAGAGACACAACCATCTAGCATTCAAGAGCGCAGCTCCGACTCACAGTCACATTAAAAGTTCAAGCTTTTTTCACTGCTGGGAGAAAGCAGGCAGATTTTATACAAAGTAGAATTTAACTTGTAGTGGTATGTGAATGTGATCAAAAAATATAACCTCAAAGGTCAGCCTTCATGATCCCACTTCCTGAAAGGAGGGCTCTCAACAGAAAAGTCTCTTACTGTGTGCGGTCCTTGGGATCCCTGTAGGATGGTTTGGGTGTTTAAGGTTTGGCTGTGGCTTTACAATGTATGTTCATTTTCTTTTGCCCTTACATCAGATTTGTTCAACTGTTGGTCTATTTCCAACATTCATTTGTGATATGTTGCCCTCCCTAACCCATTTAGACTGGATCAAGGGTCTCCATTCAGCTAGTCATCTTTGCTTTTTATTTTTACTATTCTATCAGGTTCTGATCTTCCCTTCAGTTCTTAGACTAAGTTTTTCTGTTTCCATCATTCCACTTTAAAAATGCTCTTAGGTGACTTGGTCCGAGGTTCAGAAAGATAGTCCCTACACGGAAGGCATCAGTCTGAACCAGAGGCAGGACTCAGAGCAGAGTTCTGCCTTGAAGTGCTTTGAGATAATGCTGCACTGGCCCCTCTGGGTGTCACTGTGGTTTTAGTTATCATAGTAACATATTTCAGACTAAGCCCTCATTAAGGATGTTTGATGGCTCTTGTCTGTGCAGTTACTCCCTATTTCAGAATGTTAAGCAACTACAAACAGTACCTGTGTTCCTAAAGATGATCCTTCCAAACTTTCCGGGTTCCTATTTCCCCGTATTTCATTGCACTAAAACCAGGAGTAGATGAGAAAGCGACCAGGAGAGGCAAACTTGAATGTAATCCCGTCTTGCGCTCACTCTGGAATTTGTACCTGTTTTTCTGTTTCTTCATCCTTGTTAAACTTTGGGCAAGGACAGTTCCCTTTAGGAGGTGGGGGGTGGTGGGAGAAAGGATGGTGGAACTGAGCCATTGAGAGGGTAGAGGGCTGCAAACTGGTCCCAGGATAAAGGTTTAGTGTTGATGAAATGCCTGCATTATTCAGTTAGTTCTTGAAGTCCCACAAGCAGTGGAAATAGAAAGAAAAAAAAAAACCCTTTCTACATCTAGTTTTTATCTGACTGATTTATCTTATGCTTCTTGAAGTGTTTTCACCTAAATAGCAGGAGAGGTTACATTATGTACTGTGGTGCTGACATCCTGGGGAATTTTTTTTTAACAAAACCATTTTTCATTATGAATTTGTGCTATGTGTCAGCACCTTTTTTTTTTTTTTGGTTTAAAAACAAAACATACAAATCACATTTCTGATCTTGACCCCTCATTTTTAGATTTGGTGCAGAATCATTCTGCACCTTTAATGAAGCTGTTCTTACTTCCTATTTCCAGAGTGCAAACCGAATATAGACATGCTATTCAAAACTCTGAAAACTTTTTTATCTGAGGGGTTATTCTTTTATGGGGATTTTCCCCTGGTCCTCCTGAAATACTCTTACATGAACATTTGACAGAAACATCAATTTCAACGTTTATATTTTCGCAGCCCGGGGGGCCTGGGAGAGTTTTTGCCCTCAGCTGGGTTGAGGTTGCCCTCAAGAGGCACGGTGGCACTCTGAGTGTGACCTCCCGAGGTCGCGTGCTGATAAATATCAGGCTGATCACGGGCCCTTGGTGTCCACTTTAATTGAAGTCCATCATTAACTCAAGCCATCTGTACAAGTATCTCGCTGTAACATGCAATTCCCTCCCGGGACTGCCTTTTATTTGGGGGACGATGTGCTGAGGCATTGCCACGCTTCCTTTAATATAAAGATAATGAAAGAGGAAACCCTCTTTCCTTCCCCCTAAAGAAAAAAAACATATCCGTTCCCCTCACTCCTTTTAAAAATAGGGTGAATTACAGGCTCAAGGTCTTGGTCCCTTGCGAAGTTCTAGTCCTCTTCACTCCAATATCTATGTAGTCAAAACAGAATTTTAGCTGAATGAGTCATTTTCATGGGGTGGGATTCAAGGAAGGGAAGAGATAGCTCGTAATTACAGTGATTCTAATGGAATCTGGCATGAAGATGCTCGCCTCACATTTAGACCTGAACACTGTTTTTGCTTACAGCCCACTGCTCTATGTAGGTGTGTGTGCGTTAAAAAGGGCTTTATTTACCCATTCCATCCACACACACACCCCCAAAACAGCCATCCTGTATTATCTTTGCTGTCAAAATTGTTCATTCACCCCTTTCTAAGTTGTCAAATCACTTTGTAAAATCAAGAAGCAGCGCTGTCTTTGGTCTGGAAGCTGTATGGGATCATGTTGGGGTTTGTTCTAGAACTGAGGCCACTGCCAGAGACAGACCTGCCTAGGTGGCAGGGGATCTGCTATGCGCAGGAGCACACCCAGAGCTCCGCTTAGGCAGCCCCAGGCCAGCATATTCTTGTTCACAGAGCAGCCTGTCCCCAGCTCTCGTTCTTTAGGACCCTGGTCAGTTCCAGTGAAGTTTCCTTCCTGAGTTAGGTGAACACAGGCTTCACTAGGCTCTTGCTCTGTGCCACAGGTTCTTCTAGGTTCTTCTGCTAACGGGCGGCTTGCTCCCAGCACGGGACGCTGCCAGTGGTGGGTATGGGAGCCTGGAGTAGGCTGATACAGGCCCAGTGGGAGAACTCTGACTGATCTACTCACTGCCCCCACCTTCACCAGCCCTGACTGGCTCCTAGTTTCCCTGTCCTCCAGAGTCACATGAAGGAACATCCCTGAATTGTAGCATTTGTGTACTGCTAGAGAACATCTCAGACATAGGTTTTTTAGATTGAAAAACTGTGTAGAAAGCTGACTTGGAACTGATAGCATGACTTCTAGGATTCCTTCCAACATTGCAAGTCTGATTTTATGTCTCTTTGTCTAATGGTGTGAGTTTGTATATGCCCTGTAACTCTGTGTGTAATAAGATTTTAAAATGTTAAGAGTTTTGTCCCAATCATTAAAGGTAATCTATTACTGAGGTTCTTTCTGTTTTGTCTGGGATGTGGGGATTCTCATAAACCTCTCTCTTCCACAACAAACCTTCCTCCTTTTAATTGCTCTCTGTCTGCTGAATTGCATTTAAGTTATAGCAGGCAAGAACTGTTGCCAGCATTGCTTTGAATCTTCCCTGGTGACTAGGCCACAATTGTGTTCAAATAGATACTGGGTGGCTCCGGCCTTCCCACATTTCTTTTGCAGGAATAAGATCCTGATTAACTTGTTTTTGGCCATAAGAAAATTTATTATTTTTTCCTCTCAGTGTAAATTTGATGGCTCAGAACCCAGGAGGCCTATTCTGTAGAAGAATGGCAATTTAGAAGAGAAATCATGCCTCCCGTGTCATGTTCCTTGTTGGTAATCAAGTTCTGACTCCTGAGACAGTGTCTGCAGGAGACTATAATTTACAACAAAGTTGATGAACCAGTTGAGTACCTTCCTTAAAATTACTGCTTTAAAGTGGATATGTTGAAAATATCAACGGCTAATTATTGGCTCACCAACAAATGGCATTATTTGTTTTTCCTGTTTGTCATTTTAATATTATGGAATGAGCACTTAAATATGAATGTCAAGTGCTGTGTATGTCACAGAAGTCAATTCCATGAATTTTTCACGTGAATTAACTTAATAGCATGTCCCTAAGCAGTAAGCCTCTTAGTAAGTCAGCCTAGTTAAGCTCTGAGTCTATATTGTTGGCCTAAACTGCTGTGAAGTATTCCTGGGCCCTCAGTGGCTGTGCTGCTTACACACGCCGGCAGTGATGAACCATTCTCAAAAGGGCCGATGCATAGATGTACATGAAGGAAAAAGAGATGCACATCTATTTTTTTCAGCTCTTCCAGAAATGCATAAAGGACCAAAAATCATGCTGTTAACTTACCAGCTTTGTTTCAACTTGTGTTAGATATAGGAAATGTTCTTTGTCTCCAGTCTGACTTAATCATTGAATATCAAATTGCTTTAGAAAAACAGTTGGCTGATAAGAAACTCACAGGAGAAAGATGGGCCAGTGAGGATATGCTGATTTCATGTCCAGGTTAAACAGACCTAGGTTCTTGATGAGATTTAGTGAAGGACCTGTATAAATCATGACCAGCATCTTAGAGGCCACTGATTCCCCTTTGCGTCCGCCACTTCAGGTGGACGTCATTCAAGAGACAACAGGGGATCAGAAAATGGAAATAAATATTCTTTTACTCCAATCTTCCTCTGCCCCGCTCCCCCCTCATCCTCTACTGTTTCAATAAGGCATAAGTAATTTTTAGGCTGTTTCGAACGACAAGAAAATAAAAATGGGAAAGAAACCAAAACAAAACCGTAACTTCAAAATGTTATAAAGGACTACAGAGAGAGGAGTTCTTTTGAATAGTGATGAATTGCTTCCTGATTCCCGGTTTGGTGTCTTTTTTTTAACCCCCTCAAAAGAAATTTACGATCAAGGAGGAACTGGTATAGTTGACTTGTTTCTTTAGCCAAGCCCCACAAAGTCAAAATGTGTGATACAGCCAATCCAAGGTCATTTCCTCAGATCTTAGAACCCACAGCTCTCAGAACCTACAGCTCTCCTTGGTTTAAATTCTGTTTCAAAGCCGGATTTTTGACCACTATTGAGTAGAACATGTCAGAGGAGAACAAAGTTACTTGAAAGATCTTTTTCTTCTATTAAAGAGAACTTAGAAGCTATGGGGGGAGAAAAAAAAATAAAACCTCATCTGCAATGAAAAAAAGAATAATGTGTTTGGTTTTTTGGTTCCTAGGCCTTTGTGGAACAGTGAAAGAGCATTATTTTGGTTTCTGAGGTTAAAACTATTTTATGCCCCTCAAGCACTCTGTGTTTATGGTTTGAGGGAGAATGAGAAATAGAAAACTGGGAGCAGGCCTGACTAGTCTCGTCTTGATCACATAATTCTGCATACAGTATCCTACTCTCATTCTAAAGAGAATGACTGCCCTGTTTGTCTAGCCTGAAAAGTAAAGGCCAGAAACACCGCACCCCTGACCAAGTCCTGGGGAACGCGTCTTGAAGACAGACAGAGCTTGATTCAGAACTTCCTTCTCATCTCAGGCTTTAAAGTGTGGTGGTCTTAGGTGAAGCTGGCTGCTCATTAGGGAGGCAACAGTGCTGTCTGCTTTTCCCGAAATATTGCAAATTTTGTTGACGCAGCTTCCCTTTGATTGAAGTCACTATAAAAAAAAAGGTGGGCTAATAGTCAGGAGGAGTCAAGTGATTGCTTCATTTGCTTTACTCCCTTTAGGTGACTGGAGTGGTGAGTAAGGAATACATCCCAAAGGGCACACGGTTTGGACCCTTAATAGGAGAAATCTACACCAACGATACAGTTCCCAAGAATGCCAACAGGAAATATTTTTGGCGGGTAAGTAGGGAAAATTTCTCCAGACTCATAAAGGGCTAGGGAAGAAACCATGTTCGCACAGCAAGGCCACTTCCTTTTTCAACCTGTGCTGGGAAACACTGGGTGTTTAGGGTCCTTGTGGATTGTGGGGATTCTGAACAGCCATGAAGAAACTGGCTGCACGTTTGGCCTTGGAAACGTGGCTTCTAGGTGGTTATTGATGGAGCTGTGGGATCTGCCTGAATGTTGGTTTTTTTGCAATTCATTAGAGCTTTGTGATGAAAGGAAACAGTTTGCTGCTAGCTTCAAGGCTACATTCATTTGCATTTCTCTGCAAGGAAGTAGTAGTGAGTCACCAAAGCCTTAGATTTCACCCCCCCCTTCTTGGTTTCTTGCTGAGTTAACTTTAATCCAATGGCGGAGTTCTCATAAAGGAATTCTCTTGAAGATGGACATTTGTAAGGAAGGAGGACCAGAAGAGACATTAAGCTTAAAGGACTGGTGCTGCTTAAATGCACAGGCACCATCAAACTACCAGATTGGATGGTGTGTAAATCACTCCCAGGGCCTAAGGAAAACGAATGTGGTCCTGTGAGGCGATATGCCATCCTGTCATATCCAGAGGGGAGGTCTGGCTCAGACCATTGGCCTGGAATTGTCAAGGTTGGCCAAGACCCTTCACCACCACTTCCCCTGCTAGCTGAACTAATCGGATGTGGAATTCTGGAGTCAGAGCAAGGAGTGAGCAGAGAAAAACTAGACCAGCCTGCTTTCCCTCTCCCCGCAGATGCTTCCAGAATATTCACTTTCCTCAATTGCACAATAAAGCAAATCTTTTTAAACACGTGGCAGAAAATGTACATGATCTGAACCCCTGCAGGAAACAAGTGTGTGGTAACAATCAAAATTTGGCTAGTGTTTGCTGCGACTGGGCTGCCCAGAGAAAACATCTTTTGGATGAGTAGCATAACCCAGAAAAGTTCGAGGTTTTTTTTTTTTTTTAATGTATCTAACCATTTCCTGATCAAAGGAGAGCAGTTACAGATTCACTAAACAATAGTTTGCTGAGAAGGTTTTATTATTATTTCCTATTCACTCCATGACTTATCAGTGGGGAAAGTGTGAACATGTTTTGGCCTTTCTTCTCAGAAGCAAGCCACACAGGTGTATAAATCTTGGCGTGGAAGGTCTGAAATCAGACAGTTCAGCATAAGTGTCGTTAACATGTGGTCATTTTCATAAGACCCAAGACGCACCTGAGACTCTCCCATCTTGAGCCCAGTTCCCTGTTTCACTTACAGATTCACTCTAAGTCACTGCGAGGCTTTCCTCGGGGAGGATTTATTTGAATCAGTCTTTCACATGCAAAGGATGCTGTAGGAGATCACTTCCCACATGTTGTTAAAAGCATCCTGATTTTGCTGGCAGTAATACGAACATCTGTCATGCAGAAAGAAAAAAACGTTTCATGCAAATGCCACACCGTCCAAGAAGAGAAGGGATGTTCAAGTTGAGAAACCGATGACATTTCTTGTAACTGTACCATGAGTCAGCACTTTTTTTAATCTTCTTGATAATACCTGTGGAAATGCAGCAAAGTGACAGGCGGCGGCGTTCACGGTCCGCGTGCGTGATTTTTTTTTTTTTTGAGTGGAGGTGTGCGTGTGTGACTTCATGGCCTCGGCGTTTTTCTTTTGTCAATGAAGATACAGTAAATTGCAGTCCAGGGAAGGCTGCCTGGAATCAAGAGACCCAGAGCTTTAGAAAGCAGTTTCCGCCCGCCCCAGCACTGTGCAAGGGCGCTGGAACCCCAAGTTCCTGGAAGTTTGCACATCAGAGTAAACAAACTTGAAAACCCCTCTTGATAGCTGAATTCACCCAGCCTTGTTCCATTTTCTCTTAACAAAACACACCGCAAAAGCTCTCACAAGCCGCTTTGATGAAGCCACATGTATTTCCCCCTTCACAATTTACAGGAAGTTACTCTGAAAAGAAAGTGATTCTGGTGTTTACTGCCCGTGTTAAAGGGACAGAGTTCCTTTTTATTTCTGATAATGTGGGAGTGACATACAGAGCCGATTCATAGACTAGCCTAGTCAGTGAGTGACTAAGAGGAGAGCAGGTCCCCTGCTCTGGCAACAGTCGCTCCTCCCTGCTGTCAGAAGTTGCAGGTAACCAGGTGCGGACTGCTATAGGTGTAGGGAGAAGTGTGACAGCTCAAGAAGAGGAGGTATCTCTCTTAAAAAGAGGGAGAGGGAGAAACGTGCCTTGGAGGGGCAGGCGACATTCATCAAGCCCATCCAGTAAGAGCGTGTCTTTCTGCTTCCCTGCCTTTCTGCCAAGAGGCCTGAGCGCATGTCCTTGCTCTTCTCCCAAAAGCACTCTCCCAATCTGGGAGTTCTATGTGTCGTGCTCAGCCACCCTCTTCCCAGAGAAGAGCTCGCTCTCTATTCTGTCTGTCCGGTTTTTTTTGGCTTAAAAGAAGAGCTCAAGACTGAACGTGTGGATCAGGAGAAAAAGCGACTTCTCGGTAGACTGTCAAATGCTGGCCGCCTTCCCCGCGTTCACTTTGTTATGGCAGGTGAAGTTCACCTTTGCCCCACCCAAGCGTTTCCACCGACAGGCCAGGTTCCAAGTATTCATATGAACAAGTGTTACTTTGGGACTCTGGAGGGTTGGGGGTGGAGGATGTTTGCATAGTCTAAGCCTTGGGCGGGGGTGTAGGAAACGGCAAGTACAGAGGCCATAGAAAAAGCTGAGAGGCTGAGCTTGACGCCGTCAGCCGGCCTGGGCTCTTACCCAGTGACTCAAAGCACTCCAAGTCAGCAGAATCCGAAGTGAAGGCCGGAGCTTCGCCCATTGGCGGCTCAGTGCTGTAGCGAAAGTAGTACTAGCTGGTGGTTGAAGCAGTCGGTTTGGGACAGCTTCTTAAATGAAATCGAGGGTGTGGAGGGGGGAGTTTCATTCTTCTGTTATTTTTCCCGAACATGAAAAGATGATAAAAAACTGAAATGGAAAAGGTAACTGCCGAACTGTGCCTTACCTGTTTCCGCCCTTCTTTCTGCTGATTCAAGAGACCTCTCCGGCTTACCCGTTCCAATGCTGTTTTCTCTTCTAACTAGGAGCCAGGGGATCAGAAATCACACACACACACAGATAGACACAGTCCTGGCTGTGTGTGTGGATTGCAAGAAGGGGGCCCGGCGGTTTTTTCATTGCTCTGGGCTGACTTTGTTTTTCTCTTTTGTTTTTTTGGACAGATCTACTCCAGAGGGGAGCTTCACCATTTCATTGATGGCTTTAACGAGGAGAAGAGCAACTGGATGCGATACGTGAATCCAGCACATTCTGCCCGGGAGCAAAACCTGGCTGCGTGTCAGAACGGGATGAATGTCTACTTCTACACCATCAAGCCTATCCCTGCCAACCAGGAACTTCTTGTGTGGTATTGCCGGGACTTTGCAGGAAGGCTTCACTACCCTTATCCTGGAGAGCTGACAATGATGAATCTCAGTAAGTGGATTACAGAACAAGAAAATACAAAAATGCCAGTAATGTCAGCTCTGCCCTTATGAGCTAATAACATGTTGTTTAATTACATGGCTTCACCATCTGTTGGGCCAAGTAGGTGGCTTACACCAGGGACTAGGGCAAGGAAAAAGAATAGTTTAGTCCCTGTTTTCTTTTCGGAAATAGGCTCATTCAAAAATAAAACACTGGAGAGTTGAATTCAGGAGGTGCCAGGGATATACCTCTAGGAATACATGTCTAATTCTCACTGATGCAGAAGCGGGCGGTTGGAACAATCTTACTGAGACCTTGAAATGTTACAGAGTAGACATTTGAACATAAAGGTACAGTCTGATGTGGAACATCATACAATTGTTTCTAGAAAAAATGATGTCATAATTTTTCAAATACTGTTCTAAATGAATAACCCTGAAGATTTCATATCTTCACTTCCTTTCTTATGGTAAAAATTAATCTGCTGTCCTGATCAGTATTACCATAACCACCTCTCACTTTATCTTTACAAATTCTTGGTCACTTAGGTTTGCAAGCTTTTACTTTTTTATTGGGTGTCAAAATTGCTGCCATGGCCTGTGTCTGCAAAGGCTACTTGGGTTTAGTCATTCTCAAGCAATTTCTATGAATGATTTCAGAGTCACCATAAAATCCTCACCTCCGCCAGGCCTACATTCGGAGGTTCTTACAGATGGCCCAATTTGTTTTGTAGCAGTTTGCAAAACCAGCTTCTTTTGGTGTAAGGGTAAAAACTCCAGTGCTTGAAATGCTTGTCCCTTTCTATACGGATGTCATCTCAATCTTTAAGGAAGCATTTCTAGAAAAGTACAAAAAGTTCCGGTTATCCTTTACTTGGTTTGACCAATTCTTGATCTGGCTTTATCTAAAGGTTAAACAGTTGATGTGATTTTGGAATGAATATAGATTCTAATGGAAATTAGAATTTTGACTTCAACATTAGAGCCAATTACTCATCCTAGGCCTGTGTTAGCCAATCCAGATCTCTATTTGGGGTTCTTTTCATGCTGTTTGGTTTCCTTAATCTTCGAATCAGAAGACAGTCCCTGCAGTTCTCTTAAAATCTGGGGCTATGTAGCAGCTTATAGGCTTTCCCCATAAGGTCACAGCTTTGAATTTGTAATAAATGCACCTAATGGACACTACTGAGCTCCCAGAAAAGTTCTTGGAGTGTTTGGAAGCAGACTGGCTTCCAGCATGAGCAGAAACATCATGATTAGGCCCTGGCTAAGGTAGCAGTTTTCTGCTTCCTCTCCCTCTCTTCCCCCCACCCTGTCACTAAGAGGCTGTGCCATACCCTTGGGCCTGAACATTCCAGGAGGCGGTCTGCCCTGCTGGAGCCTGCATGTGCCTGGCCCAGTGCTGAGGGCCTGGTAGCAGAAGTCACAAAGGCACAGTCACCATTCTGAGGAACCCAGGGTATCTCTTCTTAAGAAGAGATGCTGCTTCCTCCTGACTTGCTTAGCAAAGGCAGCCACTTCCTCTTGGAGGTCTGCTTACACATTTGGAATTTGATCATTCGTGGATTCAGGGAATGTCTTTTTCTGTTGTGGTGGGTTTCTGGGTTTTGTTGTTGTTGTTGTTGTTCTTGCTCTTGTTGCTGTTGTTTAACATGGTAAGTCCATTTGGAATGTCCTACCCCAGTAACTTTGCACCAATCCCAAAGCTTCCTACAGACTCCTTGCAGCCTGTGCCAATCACAGCAAGGTTCCAAAGGCCTGACATTTTTTATTCTCCAAACTGGAGGTGCTGTTGCCAATATTTTCACAAGTCAAGGGCTGATTCTTTGGGTTCTGAACTGTCAACGTGTACAGTGAAGTGACTCTTTTGTTCCTCCACTTTTACTTGTGTGTGATTTTTTTTTTCTAAATGGTGATTTAGCATTTTCAAATAAGCTCTCCTTTTCCAATATTCATAGTAAAGAATGAGAGTTAACGATAACCAGTCCCATTACCAGACTCCTGCTACCGATTGTGAAACCTGTTGTCTTAGGTGTGGCAAGGGGTGATGACTGAGACTCTGATCAGGAAAATTTCCACTATTTCATCAGCCCTAATGGGTAGACTGTGTCTCCATCTGAGCTCCAAAATATGTCGGGGTTCCATACTTAGAGCACAGAGGTTGATGCCACACCAGACCAGGAGAACTCAAAGACAGCGGGGATGGTTCAACCGGTAGAGTTTTGAAAAGGGACTTGAAACAAACCGAAATCAAGAAAAATCAGCACACAGCAAATCATAGAATGAATGATGTGGGTCTTTTTTTTTTTCAAACAAGAAAGAAAATTTAGAGTAAAAGAATTCTTAAGTGAAGCCCCTCAACCCTCCCAATTTTGGGGGACAGGGTATTTTTTTTTTCCTATCTAACCAACCCATCTAGAAAACAGTTGACCAAATTATAAACTTCTAAATGTTAGTCTGCTTTCTCAGTTTCAGTTGAAAACAGACTTTGTTTTGCCTACTGCAGAACTTCTAGGTTCTTTCTTGTAGTCTCGGGGGTTCTTATTATAGATCGAAAATGTGAGTCGGCATAATCAAGCCTTTCAGAGCCTTCAGAAGCAGTTCACTCTTGAAATGACTCCGTCCGCCTACAGCCATTTAAGATTTAAGAACAAAAACAGATCTTGATTTTCTTTTTCATGTTAACTCAAGCTGCTGCTGAGTGGGAGAGTCAGAAATGACACGCGCTCCCCTGATTACTCAGCTGCTGAAGGATGAGTTTTTACCGTGAGCGCCTTCCGAAGGACTCCATCATGACTTCCACCTGCCAACCGGCCCAGGGGAAAGTTCCGCCCTGGATCGCCCCACCGGCATATAACTCCGTGGATCCCAATGCCTAGTCATTTCATGTGGATTGACTTCTCTAGCAAGCACCTGTGCTACGTCTGTGGCATAGGAAATTAAACATTTAGACTTTTCATTGTTGGTTGCCTGCCCCCCCCCCCCGTTGGTTTTCTATCAGTTCAGTAAGGAGGCTTCCGTGAAAGATCACTTGAGTCAACTGGGGGGACAGACTTACATGTGCATGTTTTAATTTGTTGAATTTTAGAACCAGGAGAGTATTGAAGGCTTTGGGAAAATTAGGAACCTTCGCTGTAATTAGCCAGTCAGGCATGGCACAAGTTATGAGGGTGACGTGTCTATATCTTCATTTTCTAGAGACAGTATCTTTTAAAACAAAAATGCTTCCAGATCGATTTCTCTTTCACCTCCCTACAATTCCGGGGTTGGGGTAGGGGGTGGGCTGCCTTTGCCAATCAGCATACTCTACCATTTTAGCTTTTAAAAAACAAAAGTGACAATTTGAACTTCCTGCCTGCTGGGCCTCCCTGAAAGGCTGATATTGGTCTGATAAGAGGTTATTTATTTTGGTTTAGTGCCTTCAGAAATCCCTCTTCCCTCAACAAGTTTTCCATCACTGTCCCCTGATCCGCATCTTCCCTGATAGTGATTGTGCCCGGGTGTTTATTCTGGTGCTCCCGCTGACTTGCTGGCTTCCCTGCAGTGACTGATAACAGCTGGCAGGAGATAACATTCTCCCAGACTTCCAGCCTGCAGCCCAGGCCCATCAGCCTGGAGACTGGCTGTTCTCTAGACTTCCCCTCTCTCCCATAGCTGGAACTCAAACAAGCCAGAAACTTTTAAACATTAAGGGTGCTTCTCCTGGGCTTTGGAACTTTTCAGTTATTTGGTGGCTAGTTCAAGAGTGAGAGAAATAACACCATCTCCCCCCAAAGCAATCACCGCCTTGGACTTTCTAGTGAGGCAGGTGTCCCAGCTTGAGTGATTACCTTCCAGTGACCGAAGCTCATGGCCCAGGCATGGTTGTGTTTTACTTTTGGTTTCCAGGGAAGACTGAGAAGGGGAGGTTTCGCTTTTTTCCTGCCCTAGCCGGGTGTTTTCCAAAAGGCATCATTCACCTTGTGTGTCTGTGGGTAGGGCTGGCCTGCGACTGTCTGCTGGTTGCCGCTCCTACGTGGTGTATTTACCAAGCCAGAAGATACTCTCTTTGAAACCAAACACTTGTTCTCGGCTGCCTGTTTTCTTTGCTGCTCAGTGAGTTGAACTGGCTCCGAAGCACCTGTTGTGACTGGTGTCCCTGTCTGCTTTGTGATTCCCAAGGGGAGCACAGCACTGCTGGGAGCCCAGGCAAACTGAAGCCATGGGATGACCTCCACGTAGCTGCTATGGGCCTACGCCATTGAAACCATGGCCTTATCAAATTCTTATTAAACAGAACTGAGGTGAAAAGTGATGACTGTTTATTACTTGAAATGACTCTTCACCTTTCACATCTAGTTGGCAGCAGTGGGTGCTGATTTCCTTGAGGTAAACTGTGAACAGCAGAATTGGCTTTTATTACCTCTGACAATGCCCACCCCATGTTTTGTTTCGTTTTGTTTTTTCCCATGACACAATCTTGTTTGAACTCAAACAGCACTTTCCTACAATGTAGTTCTGGAGAGTGGAAACACAACTGCCTCATGATGCTATTTGTTCTAGAGATGTTACCATTGTCCACCTCCCAAAAACCTCTGAGAGAGTGGCTCAGGGGCACTGGCAGGCACAAGTGCCCACCGGGGATTGGGGTCTCTGCTGCTTGGGTTGTCCCTGTAACGGACCCCTGTCTCCTTTTTTTCAGCACAAACACAGAGCAGCCCAAAGCCACTGGGTACTGAGAAGGGTGAACTATGCCCCAAGAGCGCCCCAAAGAGAGAGCACAGCGTGAAAGAAATTCTTAAGTTGGACTCGAACCCTTCCAAAGGCAAGGACTTGTACCGTTCCAACATTTCACCCCTGGCTTTCGAGAAGGACGTGGATGACTTCAGGAAAAACGGGAGCCCTGAAATGCCCTTCTACCCCCGGGTGGTCTACCCGATCCGGGCCCCTCTCCCCGAAGACTTCCTGAAAGCTTATGGCATGGAGAGACCCACCTACATCACCCAATCCCCAATCCCGTCCTCCACCACGCCGAGCCCCTCGGCAGGGAGCAGCCCTAACCCTAGCCTCAAAAGCTCCAGCCCCCATAGCAGCCCAGGCAACACCGTGTCCCCGCTGGCCCCTGGCTCTGACTCCTACACTTACTTGAACACACCCTACGGTGCCGCCGGGGAAGGCCTGGGCTCCTATCCGGGCTACGCGGCTGCATCCCACCTTCCACCGGCTTTCATCCCCTCTTACAATGCCCACTACCCCAAGTTCCTGCTACCCACCTACGGCATGAATTGCAACGGCCTAGGCGCCATGGGCAACATCAATGGCATCAACAACTTCGGCCTCTTCCCGAGGCTGTACCCGGTCTACGGCAACCTCCTTGGCGGGGGGAACCTGTCGCATCCCATGCTCACCCCAGCTTCTCTCCCGAGTTCCCTGCCCCCCGAAGGAGCCCGGAGATTGCTGCAGCCTGAGCATCCACGGGACGTGCTCGTGCCAGCTCCCCACAGTGCCTTCTCCCTGACCGGGGCAGCCGCCAGCCTCAAGGACAAGACGTGCAGCCCCACCAGCGGGTCTCCCACTGCGGGCACAGCCGCCTCGTCGGAACACGTGGTTCAACCCAAAGCTACCTCAGCAGTCATGGCGGCCCCGGGTGCTGGCAGCAGCAGCAGTGGCAGCGTCGCCAGCGGTGGCGACGAGGCCATGAATCTCATCAAGAACAAGAGGAACATGACCGGCTACAAGACGCTGCCCTACCCGCTGAAGAAACAGAACGGCAAGATCAAGTACGAGTGCAATGTGTGCGCCAAGACGTTCGGGCAGCTGTCAAATCTGAAGGTAGGCGCCACAGTGTTGGTTCGGGTTGGTGTTTGTGGCCAGGAGTCAGCTAGCTGGCAAGGGGTCCATGTGGCTTCTCCTGTGCTCTTGCTACTCCTTGCTCTTAGGGCTCTGGGCAAGTTCCCTTCCTCCTTTGGGTCCAGAAAATCCCTGCTAGCCTGTGGTTTTATGTCTCACGTTGGAGATTTGGACAGCCGCATGCAAGACGGGCTGGTGTTTGAACAGAGCATGGGGCACAGAGCGCAGTGGTAACCCTGTGTGGCTTCTCCCTACCCCTCCCCCAGGTCCATCTGCGAGTGCACAGCGGAGAGCGGCCTTTCAAATGCCAGACGTGCAACAAGGGCTTCACCCAGCTTGCCCACCTGCAGAAACACTACCTGGTACACACGGGAGAGAAGCCACACGAATGCCAGGTAGAACTTTTGACCTCTTCTGGCAAACATCTGGGGAACTGCCCCCCACCCTCCTGTGTCACATGTAGTGACACCAGAATTCAACCTTGTCAGGGCGGATGGCACTGTGGCACGCCCCAGGGGCTCTGCCCTGTGCCTGCTGATAAGCTAAGATGATGACACAGCTAGCTTCCAGTGGGTGGGAACAGGGCAGGGGAAATAAATACCACCTCGGGTGCCCCGTATGTCCATATCCCTCCCCCCTCCTGTTTGCTTGATAGGTGCCATGGGACGCTGCCCGCCTCCCAGGGTACTGCTGGGTGTGGGCCTGTCGGCTCTCTCCTCCCATTGGCAGCTCATCATCTCTTGTCCTCCTTGCTGCCCCTACCTTGTAGGTCTGTCACAAGCGATTCAGCAGCACCAGCAATCTCAAGACACACCTGCGCCTGCACTCAGGAGAGAAACCCTACCAGTGCAAGGTGTGCCCTGCCAAGTTCACGCAGTTTGTGCACCTGAAACTGCACAAGCGCCTCCACACCCGGGAGCGGCCCCACAAGTGTGCCCAGTGCCAGAAGAGCTATATCCATCTGTGCAGCCTCAGGGTCCACCTCAAGGGCAACTGCCTCATGGCCCCGGCCAGTGGGCTGCCCCTGGATGACCTGACTCGCATCAACGAAGAGATTGAGAAGTTTGACATCAGTGACAACGCGGACCGGCTCGAGGACATGGAGGACAACATTGATGTGACCTCTGTGGTGGAGAAAGAAATTCTGGCCATGGTCAGAAAAGAGAAAGAAGAAACTGACCTGAAAGTGTCTTTGCAAAGAAATGCGGGGAGCGGACTCCTGTCCTCAGGGTGTGGCCTTTATGAGTCATCAGAGCTGTCCCTCCTCAAGTTGCCTCACAGCAACCCACTACCTCTGGTACCGGTAAAGGTCAAACAGGAAACGGTCGAACCAATGGATCCTTAAGGTGGTCAGCAAGCGTGTGTGGTTCTCCAGTTACGACTGGTGGCAAGCGCAGTTGCCTGCAGCATATGACCTGTCCATGATTCCAGTTCTGCAGAGCGCACCCGACAGCAGGTGGCTCCCCTCCCCCTCTGCAATCTCAGGGCGTACAAAGAGGTAGACTATATATATATATATATATATATATATATGCATATTATATATACTTATTTACACCCACGTCTATATATTTGAACCTGTGTATTTTGACTATTTGTGTGGATATGTTTTTGCATAGCCTTCCTATTACTAAGACTATTGCCTAGCCATAATTATTTTTTCAATGATAATCCTTCATAATTTATTATACAATTTATCATTCAAAAAGCAATAATTAAAAAACGTTTACAATGACTGGAAAGATTTCTTGTAATTTGAGTATAAATGTTGTATTTTTTTGTTGCTGTTGCCTTGTGGCTATTCTTTGTAGATAATTTCTGCACAGCTGTTCTAAGTACCTAAGATGACTCAACAAATACGTGACTCTCAAATACGTCAACCTCTCTGGATAATAATGATTTGAAATGAGGTTTTTAGGTCCTGATGTTGCCAAAGTCAGAAAGTTGATGTGTTCACGGATAGGACTGTACTGTTTGAACACCCATGTAGCATGCGGTGGGTGGGGTGTGTATATGTGCAGAATTACCCAATGAGTAGAAGTCGGAAAGGGAATCTTGGGATATTTCTGTTGATAGTTCATGCATACTTTGGTCCCTAGCCACAATTTGATCGAGAAGGTGACAAGAAGGCTGTTCCAGCCTGTTCCTCCCCACTCCTCAAATCCATGTGACTCTTGCATCCTGATGTTACTGAAAATGTGAAGACAAAAAAAAAAAAATCCACCAAGTGTAAATCCACCGTGGAATTTCCCGCAAAGCACAGGTGGCTTTGTGTGTGTGTATGAGGTGGGAGGGAAAGGGTTTGTTGTTGAGTTTTGTTTTATTTTGAAGTCAAAAGTGCACAAACATGGTCCTGTCTACCAGGAAGGATTTGACGTAGATGGGCTCAAGGCCACACTTGAAGGGCAAACACACAGAAAGATGAAAACGGGTATTCTGGTCTTAGGGTAAAGCTGGTCATAAACATTCCTAGCCTGAACACATCGGTTGTGCTTCTCTATAAAACTGTGGTTCTCCTCAGTATTTGTGCTTTTGCATTTTATGGTTAATTTAATTGAAGATGAAAGGGCATTGCTAAGTTGTTCAACAACAATTACCTCATCGAGTGTGTCCAGTCGTGCAGGAAATGATGTCTTCTATGACTTGCTACTCTCTGGGAAGAACCGAGCCTGTGTGCTCGGCAGAGATGGACTGACTGCGTGTCATTCCGCCTTTCACTCCGCCAAGGCCAAAGACTCACTCCATGTTGGCATTCGAGGTGTAGCAAAGGATGATGTGTATTTATGAATCTATTTATACAACTATACCATGTGTATATATAATATATTTATAACCACTTAAATTGTGAGCCAAGGCATGTAAAAGGCCCTGCTTTTCCTAAGGGCAAAAAATAAGAAAAAAAAAAAAAAAGAAAACTGCTTTCTGAAACTATGCTTTAAGTCCCACCATTAGGCTTCGGCACCCCCTGCCTACTTAGAGAGACCCAAAAACCTGGTGCAGCGATGGGGACCACATCCCAATACTGGAGAAAGACATGTATCACTTTTTGGGATTCAGGATCAGCTAAAACAGCTTTATTTTTGTTTTTACCACCTGCTCCTTATGTGGTCACACTCAAATAGCAGAAGTCACTCTCAGTCTCTTCCTCTGCTGCAGCCCCCTTACTATGCACTGCTCTGTCACTAGTCAGTCTGTTTTATGTATTCAACATTGTTCAGGTCACTTAGCGTCAACCAGCGCATGTTGATAACAAATTGTATTGCAATCCAGGGAAACCTCAAAGCCTTATCGATCAGTCTCTGTAACTGGCAAGACTGACAAGCCCTTAAGCATGAGTATTTGACAAATCAGAGTCCTGAACTGTAGACGAACCAAAGCGTGACAGTGACACCAAATACTTTTGAATGCCAGCTCCTCATTGGCTCTATGTTTCAGGTTTTTTATAAAGACTTCCTGCTTTACATAACCTTCTGTCTTTCCCTCTTTGGCCTCTTACATGTGAATGTTGAGCCCACAATTAACAGTGGTTTTTTTTTTTTTCCTCAAAGTTAAAACTGACCAAAGTTATTGGCTTTTTACTTCTCTAGAACAACAAACTATCTTATGTTTACGTACTGGTTTACATTGTTATTTATGTGCAAATTGTCAAAAATGTAAATTAAATATAAATGTTCCTGCTTTACCAATGTGTGTCTGGTGTCTTGAGGGATGGGCAAAACAAAAAAACATCTTTGTGGCTGCCGTGGTGGCCCCAGGACAGGTTCTGACCTGGGACCATTGGCCTGCCTGTTCCTTACTCTAGCAGTACAGCCAGGATTCCCCAAATGTGTCCACCTCCCTCTGGACTGGTTCTCAGAAAGGGTCTAACAGCACATTTATGGGATCACACGTAACCATCAACAGTGTGAAGATTTCTCTTTAATTAGGAGTTATAACAAATGTTTTCCTAAGGACATTTCAAGCATAAGCCAGTTAGTGGAGGGAGACTGCTTTGCTTTCAGTGGACTCTTTGGTTGACTTTATCTTGATGGACATGAAGTGGTGAGGAGGCAAAGAAGACAGACCTGTTACACAGCTGACCCAGTGTGTGGGAGGGAGTACGACTCCACTCTCCACTGATGTCAGCCCCAGGGAATGTGTGTACATTCCGTGATTTCCTGTTTCAATTTTTTTTTAAGATTTTATTTATTTTAGTTGAAAGAGTTACAGAGAAAGTCAAGGAGTGATCTTCAACCTCTGGTTCACTCCCCAGATGGTCCAAACCAGCCATAGCTAGGCCAATCCGAAGCCAGGAGCTGCTTCCGGGTCTGTCCTGTGAGTGCAGGGGTCCGAAGACCTTGGGCCATCCTGCACTACTTTTCCAGGCACATCAGCAAGTTGCAGAATCAGAAATGAAGCAGCCAGTGTAAGAACCACTGCCCATATTGGATGCTGGCACTACAGGCAGGTCACCTTGCTGAGCCACAGTGCCAGCAACCCCTGTTTCAATCTTAAGCTAGGAAGTGGATTGACTACTCTCAAACAATTTAAAATGAATTTCAAGAAAGCTGTTTCAGAAGAATCCGGACATTGTTGACGTGACACCCAAGGCTCAGCTGGTATGACCACATGATGGGACACGTGACGAGAATGTGTCTACTTGCTGATTCATGGATATTACAGAAACCAACCTGTCTCCAGAGAAAATCTGAGTCAGTATGAGCCTCACTTGAAAGCTATAATGATTCTAGCAGGAGATGATTCTAAGGAGGTGATATCACCCTCAGTGAAAAAAATCTGAAAGTTGCTTGTAAATATCTTTGTGCATCTCAGTTCATTGAGCCAATACAAAGTTCATGTTCCATTCCCTTGCTAACTACAAGTTAATATAATTCTTGCATTTGGATACTCAAAGCTGCCCTGAGCTGTGTTTTTAATGCTTCTTCTTTAAACTCACTTAAACATCTGTGCCAAGAATTTGAAAGGCTGCCAACATGTAACTGTGGAGTTAAGAAAAACAGAACCCTATCGTCATAAACGTGCCAAATGGTGCTGGTTATGCTCCTAAATCCTACAGAACCATTGTGGTAATAATTGTTCAAAACAAAGCCCAGTAACATCCAGGGTGTAACAGTTACTTCCATAAATCATAGCAAATCATGTCTTTCTTTTTTTTTTTTCTTCTTCCTTGAAAGTTATACATCTTGGAAACACTTGCAGATTTAGCTGTTTAATGAAACATTACATAGAAAGATAATATTCATTCTGAGCCCCAAATCCACCTGGCCAGAAGGCCACACTATATGATGGAGGCTTCATGCAGCTATGCAGGGCAGAGTTAGACTGTGGAAGCCCCCTTTGCTGAGTTCTCTTCCCATCGCAAGATAACTTCTATCTGCAGAAACAATGCATTTAATTCCCTCACCTCCAGACAATATACAGAAAAAGTAGGAGTTCTTGAACTCATCTAAAATTGAATAATCTAAAATTAGATGATTTTCTCTTTGGGGAAAATTAAGTTAATTCAGGACTCCTAAATTGGTATAAGTCTCTTCCTTTTTCTCTTTCCCTCTCTCTCTCTCTCTCTCTCTCTCTCTCTCTCTCTCTTTCTCTCTCTGTTTAATGCCTTCTCTAAGAGAGATAATGAGAAGAGGCTGGGAGAGAGGAATGAAAATAATTAGAGACACATGGCAGAAGATTTCCAATATAAAACTAGACCTCTAGGATAATCAGGCCTACAAAAAAAGGCTGTATCCCAGAGCGAAGAGACTCCCTGAATATGGAAAGTTAGAGAGGAAGCAACTAGTGAACGAATCCAAAAGGCGCTGCTGTGTCACTTCAGAGACGACCAAGCTCTTCTACAGATCCGTATACCTCACTATCAGCTGCGCGTCCTGGGCACTGACAGCCTCTTAGAGGGCGGGGTCCTTGGCAAGGTCTCACATTGCACCCCTGACCTGTTAAAACAGACAAAAAGTCATACACCCCCACCCCAAGGAGCTTCCAGTTGCTAGGTTCACTCTTGTACTATCAGCAATAGCCACGCCTGGGCCAGGATAAAGACAGGAGGCCAGAACTCACTCTGGGTCTCCCCCATGGGTAGCAGAGCCCTAACTCAAGTATGTGGGCCATCATCTCCTGTCTCTCAGAGTGAACAATAGCAGGAAGTGGGATTGCACACAGAGCCAGGATTTGAACCCAGACACTCTTGATATGGGACAGGAACATCCCAAGGCATTGAAAGTACCACACCACACACCCACCCCCATCACACCATTTTTCAAGCTTGAAATCCTCAAAACCCACAAGTCCCTCTGCTTGAAGTAGTGCTGACAGCTGCTCCTCGAATAAGTGAGAAGTAATTTTAATCTCAATACATCTTTAATCGTGTAATTCAGGCAAAAAAAAAGCAAGATCCCAAAAAATATTTTTAACCCTATTTATGCAAATGACCTCCTTTGCCCAGTTTCCCAGAATACTATAAGCTAAGAGTCCTGTCCTCATTTGGTATTCCTTCCAGGGTTGCTTGGAGAATGCTATAAACAAGCCAACCCTCCTGCTCTGCTGTTTCTTCCAGGGTTGACAAGAAGCGAACCAGAGTCCACTTGGAACCTTCTCTCTGAATTTCAGCTACCAGGGCTTGTTCAGCATGCATGAGAACATGAGTCTGTCTGTTTCTCTTCTCCCCAACATGAAAGAAAGAGGAAGTAACAGATAAAGGAGCAGTGGGTGATGTGGGTCAGAAATCCTTCAGTGTGGGCCTGCACAGTGGTTCAATTGGCTAATCCTCCCCCTTTAAAAACTGGGATCAAATATGGGTGCTGATTTGTGTCCCAGTTGCTCCAGTTCCCTGCTTGTGACCTGGGAAAACAGTCGAGGATGGCCCAAAGCCTTGGAACCCTGCACCTGTGTGGGAGACCCAGAAGAGGCTCCAGGCTCCTGACTTTGGATTGGCTCAGCTGTGGTCTTTGTGGCCACTTAGGGGAGTGAACCAGCAGATGGAAGATCTCTGTCTCTCCTTCTTTCTGCAAACCTGCCTTTCCAATAAAAATAAATAAATCTTTTTTTAAATAATAAAGAAATAAAAAATATAAATCTTTATGGAAAAAAAAAAGCCTTCAGTGTGTTCATGAAAGGGTGAAGGCGGTGTTGGTGGCAGGGGCTGTGTTCTCATGGACAGGTGGCCAAATTCCTTGTGTTGAAACATCCAAAGGAGCCACCTGGGTATGATGGCAGCCAGTTGTCCTCCTCTAGGTGAGGGACAGAGAAATCAAGCATGACCCAAGGGCCCTGGGTCCCTTGAATGTCAAAGACCAATGCCTGGTTTTAGGCCTTGCAACACAGCCAGCTCCCTCTCCTGGGAGATCCCGAATCCCAGGAGGCTTAGTGAGGAGCCAGCTGTGTGACAACCAAGGAAGGACAGGATGCTGTGCTCTTGGCCCACATCTCACAGGTATCTATCCACCTTACCAGTGACCTCAGATCAGCCACAAGAGAAAGAGGAGGTGTTGGTGAAGAGCTCATGGGGTTCAAGAGCATTGCTGAACCCTCCTAGGACGTGCTGTGTGAATATACACACAGATCTGGGGAGCCCATGTCCTTCGGAGGGACAATCCACCACACCCCAAAATGAAGCACCCTGGATCCATGTGGCTTTGTAAAACATTGTCAAAAGCTATTTCCCATCTGAGTTCTGAGGGGTGGAAAATGATTCCTCAGGACCACTCAGCCAGCCCAGCGCACCTGATGCCCTGCCAGGCAATCTCCAGGCGTGCAGTCACCCAGGGCATTTGCCATTCAGGACGAGAAGGGCACAAGTCTGTCTTTTCTGCCACCATGGGCACCACTTCCTTGAGTTCATGAGCAAAGGCAACTCCCACTAAATCTTCCTGTGACCTCCCATTTTAGAAGTTAGCTGATGATGACTTGCTACAAGAGCAACTGAGGATCTGGAGTAAGATCC